GATGACATTAAAGTCATCTGTTGCTGCTTCTGGCGTTTCATCGCTTACTGTGCCGCAACCGCGATACGATACCTGCTCATTAGAACTTTCAGTGAGCTATTTTTAGGGCGTGCACGCGACGTTCCTGGACGCGTCTGTGCCTTGCTCGGTCCTGCTCCTCCGTGGTGATGATGGCGTGCGGTCCACGACCTGATAGTGTCTCCTCCCCAAAGTCAATATTGTCCCACACAAGTATTGTAGGAACCTTCTTTGAGAATCCCTTTGATATTTTGTCTCTGCCCTCTACTAGTTGAAGTTGGGCAAGGCTACGGTCTAGACTGACAACTGTGTCCCATGATGCACAATGTCCTAGTCTATTTAGAAGTGACACAATTTGTGATGAACCTGTTAAATGGCGAACAGTTAGACCAAGACACAATGATTTAGGTGTCTGCCTTCTGCCCTTAGATGCGAGATACACAATGTCTTGACAAATAGATATCACTTTTAGGTTCAAATCATCTGGAATATCAACATAATGGGCCAGTCTTGGTTCCTCAGTTGCACCAATAATCCAGGAAATCAGATTGTACAGTTCGAGTGGCACAACAGATTTTGCTTCACTCACATTTAAATTATCAGACGTGGGTGGCCATGGACATGTCATACCGGGAGAGTCACATAGAAGCATCTTTAATATCAATGCTGCACTATAAAGTGTCCTTGTGTCCTCTGTAGCATTGATAGAGGCCACTGAGGTTTGTCTTTGCGGACCAGATGTTGTATTTGTTATGTTTTCACCATCACTTTGGCTAGTTACCTCAGTTGACTCTGTTGTTTCTGTACCTGATGGATCAGCTTGTCTGCAGACAGTGTCTCAACAAAAACCAGCTCACTGATGTTGCGCTTGTTGGGCGAGTGAAACACCAGCTGGGGGAAATCACGGATCAACCTCCTCTTCAATTTATCCTGCCTTAAACATGATACAAACGAAAGATGATCACAACGGTATAAATAAAGATATATTTACACTGAAAACAATGGAGTTAAAATACACTGTCTATCAGCTTTAAAGGGGTCATATGATGTTGCTAAACACGGCTGCCTAGAGTGAGCAGAGGCCGGGGGCTAGAGTGAGCGGAGGCCGGTGGGCTTGAGAACTGCGCGGGCGGCGGGCTTGCGGCAACCACGTGACGACCCCGGGCTGGACTCCGCTTCGTCCACGTTGAAAGCCGATCCGGCGATTTTGGGCGGTGTTATGCAAATCTTCCCACATAGTGATGTAGATATGTGGGGGTGTGTTAGAACGAGCCGTTTTAGGTAGGCGTGGCTGACTCCTAACTTTTATAAAGAATATCTCTTTGGATTTGAGACTTTAGTCTTTGCAACTTTACAGATCTTCTTTATGCACCAAGAGCTTGTAACACTCCAAACAGAAAGGAAAAATTGAAATCGCATCATATGACCCCTTTAACACGTTATATAATGATTATCATTATTATAAATTCCATTTTTGTAAGAAAAAATTTAAATGTTGCATAAACATTCTTTCCAAAGCTGCGTACTTGTGTACTAGAAACTTGTGGTATTTAAATTACCTGTAGTTTGAAGCATCAAGATCTTCTTGTTTTTTCACAAGATTTAAAAAGATTCTTCTTAGCTGCATCATTGTCAGCACCTCTTGGTTTACAATTATTCTATGGCGGATGATCCTCTCACAGAAGATCTTGTAGCTGGCATCGAAGGTTGGCTAATTTCTGAAAAGTAAACACAGAAAAAAAACAGAAAAGATATTTTACTTTATGTGCCATAACTATTTCACAACGGCTTCTATTTTAAATATTTCAGCAGCTGGCCTGTAAATAAATATATAAATATAATGAAACAAATTTGTAAATAAAAAGCATTATGTAAAAACTGTTAACAGTTAAGCAATATTGAGTGTTCTGGCTGTAGCTGTATGCAAAATGCAAATCTGTAAACATTAAATAAATTACGTAATTGTAATTTAAATTTAGCCATGGTGTCCAGCACATGGCATAAAACTTCAAAGTTCAAACGTGTGTTTGTGTGTTTGTTTACCCACCTGCTGACAATGTTTCTGCCTGTGAAAGATGGTGCTTCTGGCGTTTGCCTGCCACAGTAATGTACATGTCCATTTTCTTGCAAATGATGCACAAGGCAGGCAGTACAGGACCTGCACAAGCTACTGGCAGGCCCGTCCTGGACCTAAGTTTCTTTGTCGGACATTCAGTTACTGAGGTACTACTACTCGATGACACAGACTGGTCTTTGTGAGCATCTTGAACTTCAGGGCGCTGTGTGACACGTTTCTCTGCCGCATCCAAGCGCTTTTTGTCAATGAAACGCCTGTAGCAAGTGGAGTGAAACCCAGCGTCTTCGGGAACATTTTCAAACTCGATTTCTAGACAATGTTTGTATGTTTCTGCTATTCTCTGATTCTCACCCTGCAAACCAAGCCACCGTTTGACGCTATTTCTGAATGTATCCCATCATGTGCGTGTAAAATCCTTTGTTTCTTCTTTCTTTATGCACGTGAGATGCATATAGCATTGTTTATAATCCTTTTTACGGAGTTTTGAAGGAGGTCTGGCCGTAATTTCCTCTTCTTCGCTACTCGATATTCACAACAAGGGTGCAGACATCTTGGTGACTCTGCTCTCTCTCCCTCTATATTTCTCTCTCTCTCTTTTTCTCTCTCTCTCAAGTAACATTTTACATATATGCTGGGTACAAACTGTTTATGTTTTAAAATCCTTCATCTATTTTGTAACCAATTCAAGTGTAACCATAATGAAATACTGTTATTAAACCATTTCAATTATAAATTATGAGCTAACTAGTCATGATTCAACATTAACATTAAAGTGCTACCTATTGCAAAACAATATAGTCACGTAATAGCAATGCTCTCCCACATATTTGACTATTCTAACCGTGCTTATTTCCATCGTTGGTATAAGTGGCAGTGGGTGGTAATAGACAAGAAATGTTCAGTATTATACTATCGTGCTGATAAAGTTTCTTTAGTCCTTCAGCAACCCTACAAGCTGAACCACTGTAGGGAAACCACCCTTACATGGGGTTAGAGCTAAACTCTGCAGGAAAGTGGATCTCGTGAGCGTGATTTGAGGAACCCCGTGATAGAGTGTGTCTGCCTTCCAAACAACGCTAGGTAGATTGTTCAAGATTTTGGGTGCTAAATAGGAAAATGATCTGCTTCCCGCAGTTGATTTTGATATTCTAGGTATTATCAAATGCCCAGAGTTTTGAGACAATAATGTGATATGAGCTCGCTTAAGTATTGAGGAGCTAAACCATTCAGGTCTTTATAAGTAATTAGCAAGATTTTAAAATGTATTCAATGTTCAACAGTGCAGAGTTGACAGAACCGGGCTGTAACGCTTGACCTTATCGGAAGATGTTACAGTTATTAAAAGGGGTCAGATTACACTGTGTGAGGTAAAATAAGTTAAAAAAAAAAAAAAAACGACAAAAAGTAAACGACAAAAGTAAACGACAAAAGTAGACTGAATAAATAGTGTATTTACACAATGCACAAGGAACTTAAAACAACACAATAAATCTAGAATAACTTAGGCTATTAAAAGCAGATTGTCCACTTGAATCATACCCTAAAATAGTCCTTAAGAATCCTAGTGTGTTGAAGTTCCAAGGTAAAAGTAGTGATGGGACAATTGATACCGCAGCTCCGACGCAGTTTTCAAACCACTATTGTATCACACACTGTGCCGATGCTTGTATCGAAATGACAACACCACGTGATTGATGACGTTTGAAGCTTCGAACGTCATGCAGTATCGGAAGGTCGGGACAGCTGGTTTGAAAAAAACTGGTGCTTCACGATTCCACCTGATGCATAAAAGGATTATTCAGTCACTTTGAGGGCTGTCAGTAGGACATTTAATCATGTTTATAACTGGGGTCTCAGAGACCCCGAACACAACATAAGGGTATAACAGCTCACCCAAAATATTTTTTTTCAGCTACCCACATCAATTATTAATTATGATCACGTTTGTGTATTTTATATTATTGATCGATATGTGAATCCGTTGACCAAGCTATAGATCACACGAGATTAGATATTGTATTGATCGCAGATTGATTCCACTCTTGAATGTCACAGACTTAATTCGAAGCTTTGTTTGGTCACATGCTTTTTCAAACCATCCTCTGCTCCGCGATGATTTGTCAGAACCACCACCAGATTTCGCTAATGCACACTGTGTTAAAAGCTTCGAGTAAAGAACCGTTTTTCGGCACAATTTCATGAAAGCCTCAAACGCTTCAGAAAGCCTCGGTTTCCCATCACTAGGTAAAAGTGTCCACCGGTGTATACACAGTCCAAAGAAAGTGATAATCCAAGATGAGTGAGATACTGGAATGGGAAGTCCATAAAACAACTCCACAATCCAGCATGTTCAGTGTTTGGTCAATGACCCTGTTTGTTTCTTCATCTTCTTCTTGGTTTTTTTAACGGCGGCTGACACCAACACAAATAGGTGCATTACCGCCACCTTCTGCTCCGGAGTGTGGAACAGAGTTTAATATTCTATTTATCAACCCTGTCTCTCTAATAAAATCAAAGAAGACTTTACTATTCGTTTCACTTGCCCATTTTATTAAAAACATTAAGATCCTGAATTCCATTTTTCCTTATTTCTACTATTATTATATATCTATTATTTTTCCTCTTTCTTGTTTGTACTTGCTACATTCAAGAAATACATGAGGTATTGTTTCTTCAACATGACATTGTTCACATAACCCATTTGGATGTTTCCCTATTATTTTAAGTGTGCTATTTAAATTTGAGTGCACTAGCAATATTCCGTTAAAGATAACCTCTTCTTTCCTTGACGTACCTATACACTTTATATTATGATTTACTTTGTTTATTAAACTGTAAAGGAATCTACCCTTTTCCCCATTGTTCCACTTAAATTGCCATTCTTTAATCACTTTACTCCATATTAAAACCTTAATCTCTGATTTACTTAATGGAACTTGTATCTCTATCATTTCTCTCTGTAAAGCTTGCTTAGCTAATTTATCCACTTCTTCAATTCCCCTTATTCCTATGTGTGCTGGTACCCATATAAAACTGATTGATGTATCATTTTGAACAATTCTTGAATGTATTTGTAGGATACTAAAAAGAATATCTTGGTGACTTGATTTAAAAGATCTCAAACTCTTTAAGACTGAAACTGAGTCAGAACAAATTAAAACATTCTCAGGTTTGTGTTCCTCAACCTACTGCAATGCCAAGATCATTCCTATCATTTCTACAGTATAAACTGGCAAATGATTTGAAGTTCGCTTTACTCCACTGATCATCACTGACTTGAACTAAAAAAGTAGCCCCAGTTATTTGAATTTCTGGATCTTTTGAGCCGTCTGTATACACGTGTATATGCCGGGGTTATTGGACTCTGGTATATATTGAAAATGTAGATGACAAGTCAGCTTCTCTTTCTGATTTTTTAACCTCCAACAGATGCAAATCTACTTAAGGTGTTACATAAACCCATGGTTCATATTCCTGAGTAATAACTGTTGGGCTCATCTTGATGTTATTTACTTGTATTTCTTCTGCATATATTTTACTACTCCACCCAAAACTTGTTCTACATCTTTCATTTTGTTCCCAACAGTTCTGTAAAACCATTTTTGTTGGATGTTCATCTTTATGCCCCTGGAGGTTAGCCCAGTAATTGACCATTAATTGTTTCCTTCTAATTTCTAGCGGCATCTCTCCTACTAAGACTTGTAAAGCTGGAATGGGTGTAGTCTTTACTGCTCCACAACACTGTCTCATCGCTTGAGCTTGAATTTTACAAAGTTTTTCCAAAAGGCTTGTAAAGCTGGAATGGGTGTAGTCTTTACTGCTCCACAACACTGTCTCATCGCTTGAGCTTGAATTTTACAGTTTTTCTAACAGGTTTTTTGAGGCAGAACCGTATACCACACAACCATAATCAAACACAGACCAGATCAGTGCTACATAGATTGTTTTTAATGAAGAAAAACTTGCCCCCCATTCCACTCCACTTACACGTCTCATGATGTTTAACACCTTCTGACATTTCTCAACTATTTTATTTATATGTTCAGTCCAAGTAAGTTTTGCAACCCTGTTTGTTTGTCATGCTGCTTGCCTTATACGGGGGTACTTCCTGATTCCAGATTGAACACATGACAGGCAGACCCATGAATATTTAAAGACATTCACACATTAAAATGATCAAGAGGATTAAAATGGCTAAGATATGTAAAACCATTAAAACTCAAATATATAGATGTAAAATCATCTTAATATATATATTGAGCAGTATAAAACATGTGTCTTTGTGTGACAGTGACAGTGACTTTAAGGTCCTGTCAGCCATATGGTAGGTGTCCTCTTGAATGTGTGATTTAAAATGTCTTTGTAATAAAAAAATTAAAACTAGGCCTTCCCACTACGGCACTAGTCTGTTGAATTGTTGAATAAAGTCTTTTTTTTTTCTTTTGCACACAAAAAGTATTCTCGTAGCTTCGTAAAATTACAGTTGAACCCCTGATGTCACATGGATTATTTTACCGATCTCTTTGCTACGTCTCTGGACTTGGGAACATTTCAGTTGTATTGCTGTCTATGCAGGGTCAGACAGCTCTCAGATTCCATCAAAAATATCTTAATTTGTGTTCTGGAGATGAACGAAGGTCTTACGGGTTTGAAACGACATGAGGGTGAGTAATTAATGACATAATTTACATTTTTGGGTGAACTATCCTTTTAATTAGCTC